TCTCTTAGTCCTTTAGTCAAGGTGACCACCAAGCCACCAATTTTAAATAGGTCTCTTTGCAGCAGGAAACCTTGAGAGCTGTTTAGCAAGCTATGTCCCAGGCACTGCCTTTGGGACCTTTGGATCCTGCCACCCCAATAAAACTACAGGCGTTTATAATCTCCAACATCCTGATTGGGTCTATGGCAGCAGAAACACCATTGAAGTGCACTGGCATAATGCCCTCAAGATCCATCACTTTATTGCACAAGACATTTCTTTTTTCAAATGGCTATAGATAATTTTCAGTGTGTGTGTGTGTGTATTTCATGTTTTATCTATTTATCTGCTTATGTACACTTGTTGTTTCTATATCTTAGCTATTGTGAATAATCCTGCAATGAAAGCAAGAGTGCAGACATTTTTTCTAGGTAGTGATTTCATTTTTCAGATATATTCCCAGAGGTGGAATTGCTGGATCATATGGTAACTCTATTTAAATATTTTGAAAACCCTCCATATTTTTCCATAGTGACTGCATCAGTCTACATTTCCTCCAATAGTGTATGAGGGTTCGATTTGCTTCACATCCTTGCCAACACTTGTTGTCTCATCTTTTTGACAATAGCCATTCTGACTGGTGTGAAATATCTCATTGTAGTTTTTATTTGCATTCCTTGATTAGTGACATTGAATATATTTTCATATACCTATTGGCTATTTGTATGTCTTCACTGCGAAAATTCAGGTCCTTTGCCTGTTTTTTTTTTGAATTGTTTTTTTTGGTATTGAGTTGTATGAGTCCTTATATATTTTGGATATTAACCCCTTAGATATGTGGCTAGCAAATATTTTCTGCCATTATGGAGGTTGCCTTTTCATTTTTTTTTAAAGGTATCATTGATATACAATCACATGAGCAACACTGTGGTTACTTGATTCCCCCCATTATCAAGTCCCCACCACATACCCATTACAGTCAGTCCATCACATTTAACCCTATTTTATTTTTTTATTTGGTATCATTAATATACAATTACATGAGCAACATTGTGGTTACTAGATGGCCCCCCTTACAGTTAATATCAGCATATTACGATGCTATAGAATCACTACTTGTCTTCTCTGTGCAATACTGCCTTCCCCGTGCCTCCACCCCCATTGCCTTTTCATTTTATTAATGGTTTCTTTTGCTGTGCAGCTTTTTAGTTTGCAGTTCCATTTATTCATTTTTGCTTTAATTGTTTATGTGTCAGGTGTCATACCTAGACTCAGTTTTTGACCCCTTAACTAACTTAACTCTGGCATTTAGAGTTCCTGCTCAAGGACCATCTGCCAGAGACTAGCCATCCTCCTGGGTCTGGTTTTCTTAGTGATTCCAGTGAGTTCTGTCTCAAAATGACAAAGGGTCTGCAAGTGAACTGCATCTGTACAAGTTACTCAAGGGCCCCACTAGACCAAATTATGCCCCCAAATTTAAGTAGTTTATGGTCCTGTCAGATTTGACATGCTTTATCAGCTGTTTCAGAAAACTGGAATATGGACTCTTGGTGGAGGCAGTCTCATGTGTAGTCTTTCAACTCCTTGGTCACAGAAGAATAGGTCTTATGCCTGAATACTGCCTTACCAAGGGATAAAAATGACCACACAGCCTGTGCCAGGCTTATCACCTTGTTTGGGAATATCTTTCCCTGTTTCATACTTAATGGGTACCCCTTTGTTCTGCTTAAGCATGTCCATCAGTAACCCTCAGGCATGTCTCCAAGCTTTCAGCATTTCAGACTCTATAGGGGAGGTGTCATGGTCTAGTTTTCAGCTATTTCAAGTGATACCAAACATTCTTGAATATGTATCCTAGTACACATAAGCATGTATTTTTATGGTATGTATAAAAATGAGTGAACTTGTTGGTAAGGGAAGTATATCTTCAATTAGTACTGCCACACTTCTTTCCAAACTTACTGCACCAATTTGTACCCCCAATAGTAGTGTATGAGCTTCCATTGCCTCACTTAGTTTAAATCACTGTAATGTCTTAGTGTGATTACTATGCAGCTTCTCAACACATTTCTCTATTTATTGCATTTTAAAACCTATATTCTGTATTGTAGCCAAAGTTATCTTTGAAAATACAAATCTTTTCTGGAGACACCACTGCTGAAAGCACTTCTCTAATTTTGTCTTAAAAGTCAAAGCTCCTTAGACTTTCATGATGGGTCCCATACTGAACTCTCAAATGCTGTATCATTCCCTTCCTACCCTCCAGCTCATACTGAACTATTTTTACTTCCCCCTGGAATATGAAACTCATATGCCACAGTTTAATCACAGGCCTATGAATTAGCTTCAGTTCTTAAAATGAGTCATCCTTTCTCTCTCTCTTCCCTTAACTTTCACAATAATCACTATTTATTCTTCAGGAACCCATTTGTAATTTTTATTTACAAAGTCCTCCCTGACCTGAAGCCTGTATTAGATTTTCCTACTATTATTAATAACATTTACCTAAGTTGTAGTAAGAATTGCATGTAAGAATTCCTTCCTGGCATTTCCTGGTAAATTTATATTTTTCCAAATCCTGACAAAAATCAGTTAAGAAAGCAGGAAAATGGGGCAAGAATATGGTAGGCAGAATAATGGCCTCTCAAAGACATTCAATCATAATCCCTGGAATTTGTGAATATATTACCCCAGTGGGAAAAAGGATTTTGCGGATTCATCAAGGTTATGACCTTGAGATGGGGAGATTACCCTGGATTATATGGGTGAGCCCAGTCTAATCATGTGAGTCCATAAAAGTGGGTATAATCAGAAAGTGGTGCAATGACAGACTTGCAGAGATGTGAGATGAGAAGGAATTAGTCCTTCACTGCCACTTTGAAGATGGAGGGTGGCTATGAGCCAAGGAATGGAGGCTGGAAAGAGCAAGGAAACAGATTCTATAGTACTGCCAAAACCTTAATTTTAACTCAGTGTAACCTGAGCTAGACTTCTGACCTACAGAATTGTACAATAAATTTATATTGTTTTATCAATTAAGTATGTAGTCATTTGTTATACCAGAAGTAAAAAATACTGATTTGTACCCCTTTGGGGGTATATCGAGGGCTCTGCAGTCTTATGTCTTGAGATCTGCTTCTTTCATTAGAAGTAACTTTGGGGCATGACTTCCCTCACATACATACTTCTTCAGTGAATGTCTGATATTTACTGAATGAGAAAACTAAAACTGTTTGCCTGAATTGTGTTCAAGCTGTGTACCTACCTAGATTATTGACTAGGTTGATGTTATGTTGACTTTATAATATATACTACTACTACTACTAAATGTTCTCCAAAAAGAAGAGTCACTAATTAGCTTATAAAACAATCTATTGACCCACAAATTATTTTTCTATGTTTTACATTTTTCTTTTCCCCCCAAAATTCCAAAGGTTCTTCCATATTTTTGGGGGGGGCTTCCATTGTCTTAAACACGTCCACAGTTTATCAATAAACTTACATTTGAAGTGATTTTTATTAACTGAAAGATATTGTTCCTCAGCTGCAGGAGGTTGAGTATTATTCAGTTATATTGACTTATTTTATAAATTAATATTGCAACATTCCTTTGGAAGAGTCTGAGATGCTCTATAAAAACATTTGGGGCAAGATAACCTAGTATGCAGCTCTAAGTTCTGCCCCCTGACAAAACATTTAAAAACAAACAGAAGGTGAAAGCTAACTTTGTCAGAACTGTGGAAGAACAGTCAAAGGTTTATAGCAACTAAGTGAAAGCTCAATCAAGAAAAAAAAGTCAACTGAGAAATGGTAGGAAAGCTTTGGGGCATTTTCACTTTGTTTTTGTTCTACTCCCCCTCTGGCTCAGTAGAAGTCTTAAAGACAAAAGTATGTTAAATTCCTACTATGCAACATAGTGTCAGGTGAATTGGAGGTGCTCAATAAACATTTGTTGAAGAATGAATAAAATGAGCACTATGCTTGGGCCAATGTTTCTTGAAAGAAAAGAATTGTTGAACACTTGAGACATTCTGACATACAGTGCAGGATTGGAACATAGCTCACTTGATTTTTATTCCAGTACATCCCCACAATATCCTCAGCACTACTGAAGTAGTCCTAATAGTACAGTGGTTACAAAGCACAGGCTCTGGTATCAGACTGTTTATATTTCAGCTTCACCGTGCACACATAAAATTAAGTAAAATCTTTCTGTGCACCAGTGTCCTCCTAAAATAAAAATACACATAAAATATTTCTAACGAGCTAACTAGATAATACATGTAGGTGATTAGAAGTGTCCAGAACATACCATACACTCAAAAGTAATTTAAAAAGTACTTCAAATATTAAGACGACTCTGGATAAAGTATTTTGGCCTTATTCAGTTTTCCTTAAAAAAAATATGAAACTAAAATAAGCTGCAGTTCCTCTGGAAAAGAATTCCAAAACTAGAAATATGATGAGTTAATCTTGAACATGTGACTGCTAAGACCCTCATGATGCTCTCCCGATATATAACCCCAGCTACTTACCCCACAATCCAAGTCTTTGGCCACATTGCCCAGGCTTTAGTCCTCTACATTCTCAGTACTCATACCTCGCCCTTTTTAAGTCTAAAGGCTTTTTAAAAACTTTTTTCATTCAATAATTCAGCAGAGATAATAGCTCTTTATTTTTGTATCATATAAATATAACAAAATACACATATACCCAGTATATATAGTTCACTCCAAAGGAAATATTTTGCCAAGCCAAAACAAAGGCGATTACTCTTAATTACAGTCCAGAAACAATCAGAAAGGACTAGAGAACCCCTTGATATCAAAGCAGTCTCCCTCCGCTGCAGTTTCGCCACCCACACAAGGCCACAATACTCCCTCTTAAAACACTTCATCCCTCTTCTCAGGCTACATCTTCGGTGACGAAGCGCCTCCGCGGTGGTTTGGCACACTCCATTTCTTCAAAATCCTTCGGGGTGTTTTTCTCAGGGTCATCAGCATCCAGCTCTGTGACGCTACTCCCAGCTCGAGTCCTCTTTTAACAGCCTTTACGAAGGAGAACGGAAGTAGAAAACGACTACAATCTTGTTTCTTCTTAGACAAAGTGGCAGTGGAGTTCTCCTTCCACCCTTGGACTTCGTAGCACACCATTAATACTCCTTCGGTCCTTGCCCGCTCCGCCCGGAAATGCCAAGTGCCCCTGGAGCGCATGCGGCGCTCGAGGGCCCCTCCCGTTCCAGAGGCTTGGCCCCTATTGGCCCAGAGGCCGGGTAGCGCGTCCTACTTCCTGAAGCGGGAGGCTGAGGGTGATCATGTGACTCTCGGGGGTGGGGCTACCCTAGCTGCTTCCCAGCCTGGCTGAAAGGGCTCGCGTAGCTGGCCTCGTCAGCCCTTAAAGCGCCTACTGGGCGGCCTGACTTCAACTCCTTTCGCCGAACCACGCAAAGGGAGTTGCTCCTGGTTCTCGTTACCCCTCCAAGTTCGGTTTCCTTCAATCCCCGAAGGTGGGCCCTTAAGTCCATCGCCACGGGGCCTGAGGCCACCGGGAAACACAAATCCCCAGTGTCCGAAGAGTAACCGGAAGTGCACTCCCAGACGGCCAGGTGGATTGGCGGTGCCGGCAACTACCGGCGGTAAGCGCGGCCTGCGGGGCCTGGGCAGGGCAGGGTAGGGCCTTGTGGGCTCGGGGATGGGGGAGGGGCGCGGCCGACCTGAGACTTCCTAGGCTTCAGCAGCGCGGGAGCAGCTCCAGTTCCTCGCGACTGATCGGGGTCCGTGACCCGCCCTCCCCCGCCCCAACACGGGACTGAAAGGCCGTCGATGAAAAGTTGAAAGAAAAGCTTGGTATGGTGGTTTCTGTAGATAATCTTAGTAAACACTGGCTGGGAGTTTTCTAAGCGATCTGTCTTTCATACTGGGAAAAAAACGAAAGACGTTAAACAGTCTCCCTCTCACTTCCCATCCTTAATGCAGAGATTAGTTATGTTGCAGTTGAATCTATATACAGAAGAATCGTTTTTTTTTTTAAACATTACTCCATTTTTGGAAACTTGCATATATAACATTGTATTATATGCGCTTATCAACTACGTGTTGGGGGGGTTTATAGTGGTAGAAGAATGGGCCCTTGACCCTCTAAGTTAGATAATATAAACAAAAAACAATGAGAAAAAGTAAACAAGTAAAACAGAACTTAGGGTTTTATTATGAAATTGAAGTTAGTCATTATCCAGAAGAATCTTGATATTTTGTCCCGTGGTAGGTACTTTTGGAGACAGAATGTAAGCAAAAGTGGGAAGAGTTATTTTGAAGAATGCTGATTAAACTGGGGAGTAAATGGGACCAGTTTTTAGATGTCCAGCTCCAGAAAAAATACGTATTTCCACAAAATTAGAAATTTACACATTAATCGATGTTTCTCTAGGAGACAGAAGAACTGAGTGTTGTGAATAATTATGGGCTAGAGACCTTTTGGACCCAAAAAGAAATCTTGAGTCTTTGTTTTGGTAAGTGGCATACCAGTGCATGTTTCTATATAAATGTAGTGGGTTTTGGAGAGTGGAGGACAAGATGGAATGGGAGAAGATCCATGGAAAAAGGGAACGATCCTTTTTTAGTTCCTGAAATAGAGTGATAAAGCTGGATCTTATCTTACCAGTTTAAGTGTATTTTCTGCTCCTTTCCAACATGCATATATTCACAATAGGCTTGTAATTGTTTCTTGGTGGATTTGCAGCCCCCAAAAGGCAGTATGCCCAATGTCTAGGCAGGCTCTGGAGTCAGAAGACAGATTTAAATCCTAGCATTGCCACTTACTAGTTGTGAGTTCTTGGGTAATTATTTAACTGCCTTAAGCACCTAGTTTTCTAAGGTCGAAACATTGGAACAATTAAATGAGACAGTCCATGTAATCAATGAAAAATAAATGCAATAATCCCTAGCCTCTGACCTGATACAGTAAGCAGTATCTTTTAGGTAATACCTTATTGACTTCGACTGCTTTAGCTGTAAGGATAACCTTGAACTTTTATGTTCTGTACTCAGCCTGTCTTGGACTTTATTGCCTATTTGCTTACTCTGTGCACTCTGACCCTACCGTTGAGAGAATTAGACTTTTCCTAAGATGAAGTAAGAGACTGTCTTAGAGGAGTGTACCCTGAAACTAAGACTTGTAAGGATATATTTGGGTTTGCCAGATGGACCTTGGGCACCAAGGATTATGATAGCCCTTTTTTTGGTTTTGGTATATTCATTCATATTTTTCATACATTCAACAAATATATTCTAGGTGGTAGGGTTATGGCAGTAAGTAAAGACAAAGCCCTAACCCTAATGGGAATTGTATTTGAGTAGGAAAGAGAAATTAACAAATATAAAATATATTCCACAAAGTTGGATAATCATAAGAGCTGTGAAGAGGAATAAAGCAGAATGAGGGGACGTGCCTAATTAGATAAAGTAGTCAGCATGTGCCTCTTTTTGAGGAAGTAATTTTCATTATGGAGACTTGAATCAAATCAAGGAGCATATTACCTGGAGGAAGAGCATTCTAGGCAGAAGGAGCAAGTGGTGCAAAAATTCTAATGTCTTATTAGGCTGAAGATAGTTGGAGGTACCATATTATTGGTTATTTAGGGGAAATATGATACCCTGGATGGATAAATTTATAGAGTACTTGGGTTCATTTACCAGGCTCAGAATCCTTAATTTCAAGTCTACTCTCCTTTTGACTTTAACAATAATACAATTTTAAAAAAGAAAACACCCACAAATCATCTTCTACTAGCTATTTTCTATATTCCCTGTGTATCTTTACTTAGTTGTGATTCTAAATTCTTCCTTTTCCTCCTAATATTTCTCCATAAATGTTTTTTAGTTTTTGCATAATCTTTGTTAATCATTGGCATTGTTATTTTATTATTATTTAGTTAATTACGTTAAATGGATTTCAAACAAGGCTTTACACAAGAGGCAGGCATAGAGGATGGTCTCAATAAATGTTAGGGGTTTTCTGTATGTCAAGATGGAATTAAGAAAATAATAGACCCTGCCATTTATTGAGACCCAGGCATTGCACTGAATTCTGTACTGGCATAGTGTCTCAGTTCTCATAGCAACTCCTTGAGTCATGTAGTATCTTACGTATTTTATCAAAGGGGAAATTGAAGCTGAAGAAAGTTAAGTAACTTACCCAAGTTCTTATAGCTATAAAGGAGTACAATGGGAATTTGAACCAAAATCTGATTCCAGAGCTTGAACATTCAATTTTAACTAGCACAAAATTACCAACTCTCAGCCATTATTCTTTAAAAAACAAACATACCTTTTCATTTTGAAATAATTTCAGACTTACAAAAAGTTGGAAGATTATATAGAGTACCTGCCCACTTACCCTTTGCCAGTAGACCCTAAATGCTAACATTTCAATGCTTTATGATTCTAATTGTCTCTGTGTATGTAAATTTTTTTCCACATTTTTTATATTTTTTCATTAATTTACAATTACATGAAGAACATTACGTTTACTAGGGACCCCCCTTCGCCATGTCCCCCTGACAAACCCCATTACAGTCGCTGTCCATCAGCGTAGTAAGATACTGTAGAATCACTACTTGTCTTCTGTCTGTTGCACAGCCCTCCCCATGCCCCCCCCCGACATTATACATGCTAATCATAAGGCCCCCTTTCTTTTTCCCTGCCCTTATCCCTCCTTTCCCTCCCATTCTCCCCAGTCCCTTTCCCTTTGGTAACTGTTAGTTCATTCTTGGGTTCTGTGATTCTGCTGCTGTCCTGTTACTTCAGTTTTTCTTTGTTTTTATACTCCACATATGAGTGAAATCATTTGGTACTTGTCTTCCTCTGCCTGGCTTATTTCACTGAGCATAATACCCTCTAGATCCATCCATGTTGTTGCAAATGGTAGAATTTGTTTTCTTCTTAGGGCTGAATAATATTCCATTGTGTATATGTACCACATCTTCTTTATCCATTCATCTACTGATGGACACTTAGGTTGCTTCCATATTTTGGCTATTGTAAATTGTGCTGCCATAAACACAGGGGTGCATCTGTCTTTTTCAAACTGGGCTGCTGCATTCTTGGGGTAAATTCCTAGAAGTGGCATTCCTGGGTCAAATAGTATTTCTATTTTGAGCATTTTGAGGAACCTCCATACTGCTTTC